AACCTTCAGAGCTTCCATTCAATCTCCGCCCTGCTCCCCACACCCCCACCTGCCCCCGGACCTTAGCACACGCTGCCTCGCGCCGGCCCCACCCCCATATACACACCCACCTGCTGACCCACGCTCATTGGCTCCCTGCAGTCACGCGCCCTTAGCCCACGGGCAGAGACACGTGATGTGGTCTCAGCTAGCGTTTCTAGCCCATAAGGCGGGGCTGATGACATCATCCCACCGCCGGCACTTTGGACAGGGCTGAGGCCTGGAAGGGGCAGCGGAAGGGGGGGCGGCGGCGGCGGCTCTGGATACGTCATCTCTATGCGCCGTCGGGAGGGCAGCTCCTGGGCAGAGTGAGAGGCGCGTGTGGCGGGTTAGCGGTAGGACGGTGGCCGCGCGGGGCATGGTGGTGTGAGTAACCCTGAGTACCCTGCTGTGGGGCCCGGGGCGCGTGTGTGTGTGTCACCGCGCAGCGCCGGCCACCGGCTCCGCTCCCGCGGGCAGCGCCACGCTCCCTGCGGCGACAGTCACCGGCTGGCAGCGTTGTCCCAGCTCAGCCGCCCCAGCCTGGCGCGAGCCGGGTATAACCGCCCGGGCTGCGGGGTGATAAACGGCCGGCCCCGGCCCCGGCTCCGGCTCTTCCCCCGGACCCCAGAGCGGCCGTGTCCGCGCCGGGCTGGTGCGAGGCTGGGTGAGCGGCGTGTCGCAGGGCTGCGAAGAGCGCTCCCACCCCGCCCCCCTCGGCAGGCTCACACTCGGGGGCTGCTCGCTTGGTTGCAGAGGTCCGGGCTGGCTCGAGAGGTTTCGGGCTGGAGCACTGCTCCCCCCGGGGGAGGCCCTCCGAGGTGCTGAAGTGGGGAGAGGTAGTGACTGGCATTCATTTGACTTGTATCCTGTCTGCTTCTTTCAGGCACATCATGTCCAAACTGAGGGTGTCCCGTGTGGGGCTTGGGATACTGCTGGGTGCAGCTGCAGGGATCGGGTTCTTGTATGTGTTCTACAAACAGAGGCGGAAAAGGCCCTGGTGGGGACGCAGCTCCAGGCACTCTGGGGTTCAGTACATGCAGAACTCTGTGGGGCCCCATGAAAATGCAGAGACTCAGGGGCACCATAACCAGGGTACAGTAATTATTTCTGTTTCTTCTTCTGTGTTATCTGCAAAACTGGTCTCTGACTGGCAAGGGTGGATTTGTCCTTCATGCCTGAACTTTGGTTCAGTGCTACCACTACTGCTTTTTCTATTTGTAGCTCAGAAATGGTTAGTATATAATTGGGATATTACCATTTCAGGAGGAAAACTGCCCACCCGCTCACCCAAAAGATGATACATAAGACACTTCAGTAGATCATTTTAAAATAACTGACCTAAATTAAAAATAATCCACTTGTTACTGGAAAAATTAAATGCACACTATCATCAAATTAATATAATAACCTGCTAGTTAATTAAAGAATTGTAAAGATCCAAGATCAGCACTTAGCAACTGGCTGGAAGAAGGCTGCTTAACAAACCCCAGTTCATCTCTGTGAAGAATTGAACAGAATAAATTATTATTAAATACTTTAAAGAACACAAATCATAAACAAGCAGGATGCTAAACATCACTGTTCAAACATTTTGCATTGTGTAACATCACATTCTCCAGTTTTTGGCCCTAATTTTGTATGGAGCTCTGTTATGGACCCCCCAACCCCTGTTATTTCTCACCTCTATCTATTTTATTTATTTAAAAACATTTTTGCTGTTAACAAGCATGTTATCTCTGGAGACACAAATCCACAGTTTGAGTACTGCAAAACTAAGCAACTCTGACGGTATCTTCTAGACTGAGTACTGAGTCCCATTGGGTAGATAGAAAGATTAACCTAAATAATCTATACAGAATAGGGTTACCATATTTCCACAATCAAAAAAGAGGACACTGGGCCGGGGGGGGGGG